TATGTGTCATTTGTTGATGACTACCCCCTTTACACTTGGATTTATCTTATGACTCATAAGTCTGACTTCTACCAGATATACTGTACTTTTCAGTCTATGGTCACTACACAGTTTGGGTCTACTATTAAATTGTTACGGTCTGACTTGGGCGGGAAATACTTTAAAACTGAATTCTGTGAATATTTGGCCAAATTAGGTACCATTCACCAAACTTATTGTATTGATATACCTGCCGAAAATGATCGAGCAGAACGTAAACACCGTCATCTCCGTGAGACAGCTAGGTCTCTACTTCTCTCTGTCTCCGTTTCGGCTCCGTTTTGGGGTGAGGCAGTTCTTACTGCTGCTTTTCTTCTCAACCGTATGCCTACGACCTTCTTTCTGGTCGGTCTCCTTATGAGGCTCTGTTTTCTCAACTTTCTAATTACTCCCTCCTTCGTGTGTTTGGGTCTGCTTGTTTTGTCATTTTACCTCATAAAGATAGGACCAAATTTAGTGTCCGATCTGTCCTATGTGTCTTTTTGGGTTATAGTCTCATTCAGAATGGTTATCGCTGTTATGACCCTATTTTCCATCGCATTTATGTCTCCCGCCATGTTGCCTTTCTCAAACGTCTACCTTACTTTTAACTTCCTCCTCTCACTACCCCAGTTTCCAAAGAGGATTTGATTCATATTGATCCGTTTCCTTCTGAGGTCCCGTCTGATGAGTACATCTCCACAGTTCCTTCTGAGCTTGTTTCATCTTCTCCTCCTGCTTCACCTCTAGTTGCTGGTTCTTCGGTTTCTTCTCCTTTTTCGTTGTTAGTTTATTCTCGTCGCAAGGCTCCTTCTCCACCGGTTGTCTCTGCCCTTGCTGCTGATCCTCTTACTTCTAACGACTCTGATCCTACTACACACCAATATCCTACTCGAGCGCATCGTCCTCCAAACAGGTTAGGTTAGTCTAATACTTGTTTTTCTGCTTCCTATCGTATTTTTTTGTCTATTATTTACTCTTTTCCAAAACCTCAGTCTTACAAGGAGGCTTGTTAGGATCCTCATTGAGTTCAAGCTATGGAAGATGAGTTGTCTACTATACAAAACTCGTATTTGGGAGTTGGTTCCTTTGCCTGCTGGAAAGAATCTGGTTGGTTGCAAATGGGTCTACAAAGGCAAGACTCATTCTGATGGTTCTCTTAAGCGCTACAAAGCTCGTCTGGTTGCCAAAGGTTTCTCATAGGAGTATGGTATTGATTATGAGGGGACCTTTGCTCCTATTGCCAAGATGACTACTGTCCATACTTTGATCTCTGTTACTGCTGTTTGTTCTTGGCCTCTTTATCAGATGGATGTTAAGAACGTTTTTCTTAATGGCCATCTCACAGAGGAGGTTTACATGCGTCATTCCCCTGGCCTTCACCATTCCTCTGGACAAGTTTGTTACTTTCGGCGTGCTTTATATGGTCTAAAGCAGTCTCCTCGTGCTTGGTATGATCGCTTTCAAACTGTTATTACTGCGTTTGGGTTTCATCCTTGTGCTCAGGACTCTGTTTTATTTCTTCTGCATACCTCTGCTGGATTGGTTGCCTCATTACTGTATGTGGATGATATGATTATCATTGGCTCTGACTCTTCTACTATCTCTGAGGTCAAACAATATCTTTTTCGCACCTTTAAAATGAAGGATCCAGGTCCCTTGCGATATTTTCTTGGTATTGAGGTAACTTCGTCTCCTAAGGGTTACTTTCTATCTCAGGCTAAATATGCCAATGAGGTTATTCATCGTGTCGGTCTTACTGACATTAAGATTTCTGATACCCCTATTGAGCTTAATGCGAAGTTCACCACTACTAATGGTGTTCTTCTAGATGATCCTACTTTATCTCGAGAGCTCATGGGTTGCTTAGTCTATCTGATGGTTACTCGTCCTGATCTTGCCTATGTTGTTCATGCGGTTAGTCAGTTCGTTTCTGCTCCTCATTCTACCCAGTGGCCTGCTTTTGTTCGGATTCTTCGCTATCTCCAGGGTACTATATTTCAGGGTTTACTGTTGTCTTTAACTTCTTCTTTGGACTTGGTGGCTTATGCTGATTAGGGATAGCAATTTGAAACCAGCCTGACGGGGACCCGACCCCCCGTCCCCGATAAGAGTGGTTTTTTCCCCAAAAATACCCCCGATGGGGAGGGGATGGTATTTAAAATTGAATCCCCGATCAAATTCGGGCCGAGGAAGGGGATCACTTTCACAGCCCCGGACCCGGCCTGTCCCCGTCCCCGTTCACCGCTCCGTTTCTCCCCAAAATAAAAACCCCCCTCACTCTAATCTGTTATATATCTCTAATCTATATCTCTGATCTGTCTCTCTTCTCTCACTCTCTCTCTCACTCTCTCTTTTCTCTCCACAGATGCTACGCAGTCGGCTCCTCCTCCAGGCCACTGCCGCCTCTCCGTCGCTTCCTCCTCCTCCTCCTTCTCCGTCGCCTCTCACGGCCTCCTCCCGTCGCTTCTCGCAGGCGGAGCCGTCTTTCTCCGCCAGGCCACCGTCAGATCTGAGAAGATCCGTCGGTGTTGATGATCGATGTTGAAGATCCATCTTTCTGAGAAGATCCGTTGGTGTTGATGATCGATCTGAGAAGATCCGTCGGTGCTGAAGATCCGTCTTTCTCCAATCTGTCTATTTTTTATTTTTTATTTTGTTGATGAAAATGATGTTGTTGATGATCGATGATGTTGGTGTTGATGATCGATGATGTTGTTGATGATGATAAGCTAAACAGAGAGAGATAGTTACGAGGATTTTCCACGGTCAGGGAAACTCGATCCCCGTTGGGGCCGGGGCCGGGGGAGGTGAGGGGTTCCCCGCCGGGGATTGGGGTCGGGGACGGGGAAGTTTGTAGTTTCGGGGATCGGGGATGGGGAGGGTGATCCCCGGCCCCGCCCCGCCCCGCCCCGTTGCCATTCCTAATGCTGATTCTGATTGGGCTGGTGATGTCACTGATCGCAAGTCCACTTCTGGCTTCTGCATGTTTCTTGGTGATTCCTTGATTTCTTGGAAGAACAAGAAACAGACTGTTGTTGCGTGTTCAACTGCTGAGGCTGAGTATCGTACTATGGCTCATGCCACTACTGAGATTGTTTGACTTCGTTGTCTCTTGACTGATTTGGGTGTCCCTCAGTCTTCTCCCACCTCCCTTTACTGTGACAACTGCAGTGCTATTCAGATTGCACATAACATTAGGGATGGCAATTTGAAACCGGCCCGACGGGGACTCGACCCCCCGACCCCGATTAGAGCGATTTTTTCCTGAAAAATATCCCCAACGGGCTAGGGATGGTACTCAAAAATAAATCCCCGATGATTTTCGGGCGGAAGAAGGTGATATGTTTTTCACCCCCGGCCCGTCCCCGACCCCGTCCCCATTAGCCCCCTGAATTAAAGTTACTATATATACCCCTTAATATATATTATATGTTCTGTTCTATCTCTCCCACTCTCTCTCTTCCCTCTACTCTCTCTCACTCTCGCATCTCTCCTCTCTCTCACTCTCGCATCTCTCCTCTCTCTCACTCTCGCACCTCTCCTCTCCGCCTCCTCAGCACAGAGTCACTGTCCACCTCGACCGTCGCTTCACCTCCGCCGTTCGCTCTAGAGATCTCAGATCGCTGCCCTGCCCTCAATCGCTGTGCACCTCCACCTCCACCTCCACCTCCACCTCCATCGCTGCCCTCAGTCACACAGAGATCTCATATCTCCGCCGATCTCCTCCGTCGTCGCCGCCGATCAGCCGATCTCCGCCGATCTCCATCGTCCCCTTTCTCTCTCTCTCTCTGTATACATGTATGGGTGTGTCTATGTGTATGTATAATGTATGTGTGTGTCTTTGTGTGAATGTATACATGTAAGTATGTGTGTGTGTGTCTCTCTGTGTATGATTTTTTGAGGATGTTGTTGATGATGTTGAAAGTTGTTGTTGATGGTGTTGAATGTTGAAACAGAGTTGGATCGGGGAATTTTCGGGGTCGGGGAAACCCGATCCCCGTTGGGGACGGGGATGGGGACCATGATAGGTTCCCCGTCGGGGATCGGGGCCGGGGACGAAGACGGGGACGGGGAAGTTTTGGCCATCGGGGATCGGGGACGGGGAGGGTGATCCCCGCCCCCGCCCCCGCCCCGCCCCGTTGCCATTCCTACATAACTCTGTCTTTCATGAACGGACGAAGCACATTGAGATTGATTGTCATTTTGTCCGCCAGTATCTACAGTCTGGCTCTATCTCGCTTCCTTTTGTCTTTTCGGCCTTACAGCTTGCTAATTTCTTTACGAAGACTCACACCATTGCTTGCTTTCAGTTTCTTCTTGGCAAATTCTCAGTGTTTTCGGCAAAAACACCTTGAGTTTGAACAGGGGTGTGAGAATATTATGTTACTTATGGAAATATTAGATTGATTGTGTAGATTGATTGTATTTCCTTATTAGTCGATTGATTATGTAGATTGACAGTATTTCCTATTCAGATTAGGGTTAGGATTGCTATATATATTGGTTGTAAGCTTTGTATTAAACACAATTGAATATACAAAAAACATTCAGAAATCTTACAGCTACATCCGGAAAATACTTTGGCTTAAAAGAGATTACATGCTTGGTGTGATTTTTAATTTTCTGTATTTACTAAATGTGATATTTCCTCAATGTTTTGTTATTTCAGTATGTAGAGATGTTCACTTGTTTTGGTGCATCTGCTCATTTCTACTTTTGTTCCCCAACAGAGAGCAGAACTACATCTGTACGGTGAAATTTTAATGGACAGAATCATAATGGCATATATCTTTATGGTGATATAATTGAATGTAAATTTTTTTAGCAGAACTGTAAATTGGATGTCTTTCCCACTGTCTCAATTTTAGAACTATTTTTCTGTGTTACTGTGCTTTAAAGAGCACCTTTCTCGTAAAGATATTAAAACCTTTATTCAAATCTTTACAGTTTTCCTTCAACTTTATAATGTTTTCCTGTAGACTTCCATTTACTATGTTGGTGCTGCAAGGAGCTGTGAAGATGGTTTGGAACCTTCCTGAGGTTATGAGAGTATCATGTGCATTCATGGTAGTCATGCTTTTATGGCTAGCACTATGGTCTTTCGGTGCAGCTGGTGTTATGGCTTCAAACATGAGTGACCAACCATGCTGGTGGTTTCTTGTGGTGAGCTGGAAAGTTTTGTTCTTCATTCTATTGGTTATGTTGGGGATTAGCCAGCACAAAGTATTCTCATCTCACAATTTTATGCCACGGACATCACATTGAAAAATGCTTTTATTTGTGATGCAGGTGTTCTCTGTAAGTTTATTTTGGACAGGTGCGGTTCTCTGTAATACTGTTCATGTTATTGTGTCTGGGATGGTATTTCTTGTTCTCATCCATGGTGGCCGGGAAGCAGCATCAATGCCTTCCAAGCCACTGATGAAGTCTCTACGGTACGCTGTCACAACTTCTTTTGGTAGCATCTGCTATGGATCACTCTTTACAGCTTCTATCCGGACATTGCGTTGGGAGGTAGCTAGACTCTTTTGCTTTGCTCTTAAGCTAATAGTGCTTGTAGATATTACTAAGTGTGCTCAGTTGTGACTGATCATGCAGTTCAATTTAATATTTTTAGATTAGGGGATTTAGGTCAAAGATTGGCAACAACGAGTGTTTGCTCTGCTGTGTTGATTTCCTGTTTCATCTTGTGGAGACTCTTGTTCGGTTTTTCAACAAGTATGCCTATGTTCAGGTAATTTTATTAACCATTTTATTGGTAAATTCTCTCACATACCATTTTTTGTGGCAAACTGTTTGTTAGATTCTAGTTACATCCTGTTTCTACTTTTATTTTTTATTTTTTTCGGCAACAGTCAGTGATTAGTTGTTAGATTAGCACACCTAGGGGGAGTTGAACCCCCAACCTCTCCTTGCAAGCACACTTATGTCTTGCCCCTAGGCCGCAAGGCCTTGGGCTACATCCTGTTTCTATTGACCATTTTTAAATTGTAGTTTTATCATGTATCTTAAGAGGGAGAAGTTTCTATAAATTCTGTTTCTTCTCTATAGATTTCTGCTAGTTCAGTCTATTTGAACGGTGGTTAACAAGGCTTAAAAGATCTGTTAAATATCCCTGGCAAATTTGTCATGCCAAAATTTGTGCAGCTCCATTAAACAATTGAAAAAGTGGCTTTACCATAATTTGTGGGTCTAATTGAGAACTATTTTGAGGATCACCTATCCCTGGCAAATTTGTCATGCCAAAATTTGTGCAGCTCCATTAAACAATTGAAAAAGTGGCTTTACCATAATTTGTGGGTCTAATTGAGAACTATTTTGAGGATCACCTTGAGTCCACAACCTTGCAAGCTACTACATTCGAGATGGCATAGATTAGCTCTGCAGCATGTTGTAAATGCATCATGATTGGAAGATATTATTATTATATACTGTGCCTAACAGGCATTGTCCAGGTGTTCCCTGCAGATTTATGTAAAGTTTTTTGATATAATATTAGGAGGTTTGTAGCACTGAAGACAAAGCATATTTGCACATAAGCTGACCCAAAGTCATTATGTAATGGCTTAATGCCCATCATCACAATATTTTTGAATGGATTTGGATACTCCTTTTCAGGTTTTAGGGGGTTTCTTTTAAAGAGCACTGAGGGCTTGTTTGATGTCCCAAACCCCGTCTTGAGGGAATTTTTGGAACATTTATTTTTCTTTCGGTCTATTGATTCGTTTAGTTGATATGCAGTTTTGCATTGCAAATCAAAGCTTCAAAAGAAGGAAGTTGATTTTAATTTTTCCTAATTTCTGTTAGGTGAACTTTGCCTTCGCTTTTTGGAAGGATTATGACTTTTTCTTCAAATAGTTAGTGCTTTTTCAGTTAATTGATTCTTTGCCTTGAATTTTTGTCTCAAGTTGTTTATTAGACACCTGAAATTGTTAGTTCCTAGAAAATATATTAACATCTTGGTCACTTCAGATTGCAGCTTATGGCAAAAGCTTTAATCACTCAGCAAGAGATGCCTGGGAGTTATTCCAATCAACTGGTGTGGAAGCACTCGTTGCCTATGATTGTTCTGGGGCTGTTCTATTAATGGGTACTCTTTTAGGTGGGCTTATTACTGGAACTGGTGCAGGAGTTTGGACAATGAAAAAATATCCTGACAGAGTGATTATGGTGGGCTCTACTGCCATGTTGATGGGAATGATCTTGGTAAGTACATTGAAATATGCATGTTTCAATGGTTGCACCTCGGAACTAATCAACCTTTCAGCCAAAGCAACCCAACCAAAATGGTCTTCTGTCCTTGCTTTGGCTCAGTTGGAAAGCTAGTGGACCTACTTATCTCGTATCTGTGTTGGGTAAATTGACCGACTAGAGAACCGAAGTATCAAAGAGGAGATGAGGGTGCTGTGCCCTATAAACTAGAGGGAAGCATTCCTTCCTCTGCTATTAAAATATGGCATTGTGCTATTGAAGAGGAGATGAGCTATAAACTAGAGGGAAGCATTCCTTCCTCTGCTATAAAAATATGGCCTTGGGCCAAACCTGTAATGACTTGAACTCCTTTCAGCCTATTTAATTTGAGATAAGCCTCTTGGTTTTGCTGACTTTGGCTGTTTTTCTCATGATCAAGAGGTTACAATATGTTGAATTATAAAAATGCCTCTTCAGCTAATAAATTGAAAACTGACCACAACCAAGTTAAGGAATTTCTGTTTTGGGACATGTACATTTGTCATTGCTTCTGTTAATGTAAATTGTAAATGTAAATTGTACTCCACCTACCACCTCCACTTCACCTAACACACTCAACTCTACCTACCACCTCCACTTCACCCCCTACCAGCACCACCACAATCTGCTACCTTCTCTTCTATATATAGGAGTTGTAATCAATATACAGATACACAACAATCTTGTAATACATATCAATCAATAATAATACATCAATTTATTTTACAGCTTCATCTGCTAGAAATTGGAATATATTCTAGAAGGCATCAAATTTTATTTGAATTCATCAATTATTTTGCATGCTTGATTTGCATATTGTTAATGGCTTTAACATTTAATCTAAGTGATGGGAAGCTTTTAGTCTATGGAGTTGAATGCAGAGCTAATTAGTAATCCACTGGTTTCCTTCTAATCTCTTGTGAGTTCTACTATATCAAAAACTCGATTAATTACCTTTATATGGAGAAATATATGTATCAACTTGACATATTCTTATTTATTTTTAATTTTTTGAATTTGTAATTGACTAATTTGTCATGATACGGACTTGAAGGAAGTTCATGCTGCATAAACTGTGGTTAGTGCATGTATGTTGCTCTCTGTTTTCTGCAAAATGTTTATGCACGGTATGTCTGATATTTCAGGTGGGACTAGCAATGGTGGTTGTGGAAAGCGCTGTTACGTCCATATACATATGTTATGCAGAAGACCCGTTATTGATTCATAGATGGGATGCCGAATTCTTCAACCAGATGTCGGAAACTCTACACCAGCGTCTGCAACATAGGAGTGCACGAGCGAGAGAAGTATTGACTCACAGTCGGCTTGATGGCCACAGACAAGAAACACTCACTATTTGATGAAGTTACCAATGTTGTATAACATGCAGTGTGTAATTGGTTCCATTATAATTTATTCATCCAAGTTTTTGCAGTGCTCATTTTCTTTTTCAACTTTCTGAAATTTTTAATTGACCAATTTTGTGTTTTCTTTTTTTTTTTTTTTTTTTGATCTGGACCAATTTTGTGTTTTCACTTTCACCATTCTATGCATTAGGGGTGGGCGCGGGTCGGTTGCGGCCACGGAACCTCCAATCCGTCATCCGTCCGCTAGATTGGCAGATTGGAGAAAATCAATCTACATCTGTCTACCAAACCAGCGGATGTGGATTGAGCGGATTGACAGTTTGGTGGATGGATGCGAATCGGTTTGGCGGTTTAAAATTTTATAAATTTTCTACATAATTTAACTTGTGCACTTCTTCAAAAAAAAAAATATTACAATCAATGACTTAAAAAAATATTACAATCACTGCATGCCTCATCCAAATCAAGAAAGTTTGAAACTTTAGAATATCAAAATCACTGCATGCCTCATCCACATACTACAATCACAGGATATCTTATTACAATTTGTGGTCTTTAAAATATAAAAACAATTCAAACTACTAAAATCATGAACATAGCAGTAGTAGAGATTGTATGTCTCTATACTGTTACATCTATATCTGTTTTTTAAAAAATATTACAATCACTGCATGCCTCATCCAAATCAAGAAAGTTTGAAACTTTAGAATATCAAAATCACTGCATGCCTCATCCACATACTACAATCACAGGATATCTTATTACAATTTGTGGTCTTTAAAATATAAAAACAATTCAAACTACTAAAACCATGAACATAGCAGTAGTAGAGATTGTATGTCTCTATACTGTTACATCTAGGGGTGTGCATAATACCGCCGAAACCGCCAAAACCGCACCGAACCGCACCGCCAAGGCAAATTCGTTATTATTTGTCAATCGAACCGCCGGTTTTTGGTAAGAAAAATGGCAAATTCTAGCGACACTTTTATCAATCCGCCGGTTTCTATTTTTCTTCCAAACCGCACCGACCCGCAACGCTATTAAATCATGTCTTATAGGATTCTAAAAATTCTTTTTTACTTAAGTTTGCTTGTTGTTCTATACCTTAGATATAGTATTACATTACTGCTCGAGGGGAATTTTATGTATTGTATTTGATCATTGTAGCTTCCACAGATGCTTGTAATGAACTAATGGCATAGTCATTGATATTATCATGTTGTTGCTACACTTGCTGCATCAGAAGAAAGTTTCGCAAGATACTTAACATCACGATATCTCTCGTCTTTTTTTTACTCTTTGATTTAAGTTTTGTAATTTGAATTATATTTTTTATAAACCGCCAATCCGCCCGAACCGCCAAGGCAAATCCGCCATTATTTGCCAATCGAGCCGCCGGTTTTTGATAAGGAAAATGGCAAATTCTAGTGACACTTTTATCAATCCGCCACCCGCAATACGGTTTCTATTTTTCTCTCAAACCGCACCGACCCGCACCGCGCACACCCCTAGTTACATCTATATCTGTTTTTTAAAATAAAAACCAACAAGCATATATCATATTTTTTATTATTTTTAGAGATAGATTTAAAAATCAAAAAATATAGATAAATAATACGTTTATTTTTTTCAATTCAAAAAAAATATTCAAGTTGAAATTTTTTTTTCAACAGAATATTTAAACTCTTTTTTGATTGAAAACATAAACAGAATATTTAAATAAACTGAAAACACAGTCTTATGAATTACCAGGAGTGCTCGCGGTTTGACGGTTCGGTTGCGACCAAAGGAATCTCAAATCCACCATCCGTCCGCCAGATTAGCGGATTGGAAAAAATTAATCCACAACCGTCCACTCGTCACCATGCATCCGTCCAAAATGTGACAGATCGGTTTGGTTCAGTTGGTTTTGACGAATCGGTATATCCTCTGCTCACTCCTACTATTCATGGTTAGTGATGGATGGCAAGGGGAAATTAAAACTTTTTGTTTTTTTGGGTAAATTATCAATAAGTCTTAATAGTTGGACTTAAGTCCCATTAATCCTATTGTACGTTAATTCTAGTAAAATCTTGGTTAAAAATAATTTTTTGTGACGATTTTTTACATATGTCGCTAAAAATTGGCAATTAGTAACTTATAATTAGTGACGGTTTTCTGTGACGAGTTTTTAAAATTATAGCTAAAAGTTAAAAATTGGTAACTTTTTTTATGTTGATTTTTTTAAACTATTACTAAAACTTATAATTGTGACATTTTTTAAATTGTCCTTAAAAATTAACAATTAATAACTTTTGAATAGTGTTTAATGAAAAATAATGTTAACTATCATAGGACTTATTGGATAATAAGTCCACATATTAGAACCTATATATAAGTTTTCTTCTTTCTTCTTCTTTTTTTTTTTTTTTTTTTTTTTTTTTTTTTTTTTTTTTTTACCGATTTCAATGGTAAAAGTTGGCATTATTGTGAAATTGGACAACTTAAGTTTGATTTTCAGTGATACTATAGATTATTTTAATTGATATATATGTAATTTTCAAATTATTTGAGAGGCTTTTCTCTCAAATTTTGAAATACTCAAGAATCATCAAACTTGAAATCCAAAACAGTCAAAGGAGCTCCTTGAAGCTTACTAATAGGAGGTCCTTTTATTTTTGTTCGTTTGTTCGCCATTCGGGCCAGAGAAAATCCCAGTTTCGAATCCCACTAAGCCCACGTAAAGCTAATGAGAGTTGCCTTGTCCATGAAGTCTGGTAAAAAAAATGGCTTAACCATTGAGTCATCCTTCGTCCCAAGTACTCAAATTATAAAAAGTTTAGAAACACAATCATCAAATATTGAATAAGACACATATATTTAATATACCGTGAGGTTCACATGGTGTGCAACCAATAAATAGGATCCACGTCATGTGAGACATATTTGTCTCATTTTGTGTTTTGTGGTTGTGTTACTAGCATTGTTCCTCAAACTATGTATGAAATAAAATGGAAAGAAAATGAAAAAAAATCATAAATATATGGCAAATTCTGATGCGATTCAAATCTCAAACTCACTGCATGTGTTTTAAATCAGCAATGCTAGGTAGTCCCAATTTTTGTGGCTCAAATGATGTGAAAAATTATTATTATATATATTTATTTATTTATTTATTATTTTTTTTTAGGATACTAAACCTAGTTGTTCTTGATAATATACGATTTCTTGAGATATTTTATCAACTCTTTTTCTTGTAAATTCTATATCATTAGCAGTACCAATATTTAGTAGATTTTGTAAAAATTCACAACGTTTGTGACAGTTTGCTATTAATATTATTACTTGATTACGATATAGCAACAGGTCTTGGCTATAAAAATAGTGATAAAAACTCATAAAAAATGAAAAAGTTTTAGATGTTTTGATTATAGGCCCATTATACTTCCAAAATAAGAACAGAATCTCAAGATTTTGACCGTTACCTGAACGTAGTCGACGTAGGGCACTGGCGTTGGCAAGCTTCCAGTTTATAAAGGTAGCTACCCTCAACCTTTTCTTCCTTAGATCAGGCTCAGCACAGACTGTTTCGTTTCGTACCTCAGACCTTAACTTCAGAAACTGCTTCTTTGGTTATACAGGAGACCTAAGATCAATAATTTGACATACAATAATAACACACTCTCTTCTAAAAATGAAAAAAAAAAATTATTTATTGAACAAAGATTTACAAGGAAATGAGTGTTTGTAGACTATTAGATTGCTAAAGTATTGTTTGCTCTAAGAAGGCTTGAGAACAGACTTCTTTCTGTTTTAAGTATATTCTAAGTAATCTGCCTTCTTTTTTCTCTCCCTCAAGGCCTTTATATAGGCACCTTATGGACTTCAAAGTCTGGATTTCAACCTATTTTATAAATATACAATGTTTTATATATTACAGTTTATTGTTACTAGAAGACAAACAAGCAGGTGGCATGGCTACATGCTAATTTATTTATGAACAAGAGACACCTGGTGGGGTAGTCACATGGAAGTGTAGTCTTCAGCCCATGGTTTTGCCGAACAATCCATGGTTTTGTTAATTCATTGCATTGTCTAGATTCCACACCCCTTCATCACCCATGATATTACTAAGATCATAATTCTCATCATACTCGTCAAACCTCTTATCCCATTCTTTTAGATCTTGTTCCACAAGATATTTTTCCAAACTTTTACATCCTCTTTCAAATAAACATGTCCCCGATTCTACCTGTTCCAAATAATCATATACTGATTCATAAATTAATTTTTTTGTCAATGATGGTGTTACTACAAACGTAATTCTTCCATAATGAACTAATTTGAATCCAACCCTTGCTAATTCTATAGTTTCGTAAGATATTAGGAAAAATCCTCTCACCCTTGCTTCTATTGGATCTAATATAAATGGCTCGTCCCAATTTTTGAACCAATCATATTTGTAGGGGATTATGTCTTTCTTGTCTTTGACTTTTATCAAATAATGAGCTGCATTTAGACGTTCATCCTTTACCTCTGTTTGGGCAGTTGTAAATGTGATGGGTGCTATGCTTGGATATTCTTCAAAGGCTTTATAAATTCTTCTGAACATGAATTGTTGAAATTTGGTGAGTTGAGTGAACAAAGTACTCTATGGGTGAGAGGAAATGTCGAATGTATAGATTATTCCCAATTTCTACATTTGACCCAAAGGATTTTTTGGGCTATTGACCTTGTCTGGATCGAATGAAACTTTTAACATTCTATAACTGTAAGTAGCACCACTGAGTTCCCAGATAGGTGACACATTCTTCATACCATTTCAGAAATAATAAATGTACATATTTTTATTTTATCTTGGATGTCATCGGGGAGTTGAAGAAACGAATATAATGCTTCTAATCTTAAAAAGGTTTTTGCTACTAAATGGGTTGTTCTAATAAGCTCGTTCACAGAACAGCTCTTTCATGCAGCTTGCATTTTTCTGATAATTTCATCACTGTCTTGTGTCACCAAGTCCAACACTTCTTGAGTTTCTGTCAGGAGTGTTTCCTTCTTTGGCGGTGTAAGTCTTGTGAATGTGAATGTCATCTGCAAGTTCTCGAGTTAGAATAT